ATAAACACAAGATTCTATGCCCTCCCATCATACTTATTAGCAATTTATTTCTGTAGTGTCCTTTGCTTCCTTTACTGATTTCAACCCTCCACCACCTGATTTTTAACTTCATTCATATCCACTGCACTCAGCCATTACATATGTGTACTGGATTTTATGAGGTTTTTTTTTTCCCCATGAGAAACATACTGATTTTCTCAAGTTCATGAAACTTTATTCAGTCATAGAATTCTGATTTCTAGAGCATTTAGCCAAGTAATGCTAAATAACTTCCAATTATTATTATTTCATTAATATTTTATCAAACTGCTTTTATTAAATAGTTTGAATGTCTTTCAATTTGAAAATAGAGAATGTGACATTTGCAAAATATAGCTTTTGAAAAAATAAAACCTAACTACAAAAATCCTAATTTATTTTTCATTATTTCACCTCCTTAAATAGAAACTATAATGATGGTGGCTACTTCTAACAAATTCTCCACAATTTAGGCCTTCTGAGTTTAAGTTCATGCAAAACCTCCAAACTGTAGATAAAACTGCAGAGTCATTTAGAGAAGAAAATCTTTTAGTTGAAAGACACTCCTATTTGGCTTCTAAATATTTGAGGAAGAATATATATATAAAATTCTGGCTCCCAGTTGTAAATGGTTAAGTGTATAAATTTTCCCAGTAAACAAGACAGACACATGGTCCCCTACTCCTTATTGTGGCTATGGGGAAACAGATCCTGAGAAGCTTTGTGGGGTTGAGTTTGGAACAAAATGGAAGCTGTGGATCTGGTATTTTGTCAGTGTCTGCTTCTCTACTGCACGTATGTGTTGGCTCTCGAGTAAAAGATGTCAGCATGCGGTATGTGGATGTAATCTTGTTCAGAAGTTTCAACAGAATATTCCTGGGAAATAATTGTGTCTCCAGTGTTGTCACTTTAGCAGGCTGAGGAAAAGTAAAAGTTCTCAGGTTCAAGGCAGGACTTGTCTCAGCTGGTATGCACAACAATTGCAGCAGAAAACTGCATGGAACAGCATTTTTTTCAGAATTAAAAATGTGCCTGTATTCCAAAAGAACCTGCAAGGCAATATGTAACAGCATCATACACAATGTAATGAATTAGTCATGTGAAACTATTAATCATACTCCTTTCACCACTTGCTCCTCTATTAATCCATTCCTGTCAGAAATTTAACATTACAAATTCTTCAGATGTCTCATACACCTACCACTGTTTAAATTAATGTTCAGCTTCCTCAAGTCTCATTTCCCTTCAAAATACCTGGTTTTCCCAAGGAATGAGATGGTACAATTCCCATAGGAAGTTAGTTGTTATAAATACTGTGAGAGTCAGTTCTGAAATTAAAAACCTAGAATTATTTCATGCTTAGCAATGCATGACTACAATAGTTAAGTTTTGTAAAATTTTTTGCTAACTGAAAAATAAAAAAAAAAAGGGAAGAACCCAAAGTTTATTTTCTGGATGAGTGGGTGCAGTAAAAAACTGTGACATCATCAGAACTTTGCAAGAGTCTGAATATGAGTCAGCAGTAGGAAACAGATACCTGTGTAAGAAAAATACCAGGTGATATCTAAAATATTTTGCTGACCTTTGAAGAAATGGAATATAAACCTGGAGAGTGATGTACTCTGTCTGCTTTGAGAATTGATGAGAAGCTATTTTAGGAAAACATTTACATCTCAAGAAGGTGGTATTGAAACAGCAACACAGCAGAAATCATTCTTCAGAGTCTGATTCCTCTGGAAGGTTATTTGAGTTTTAATGGTGTGACTGATGTTTTCGAGGTTATGTTTTTTGGCAGTGCTTTGTATGGGAAAATGGAAGCACTTTTAGAAATTGAATATAGTAATAGAGTGACAAGATCATAGGACAGGGTCGTATAAGATCATTCAGGTTGTAAGGGACCTCAGGAGGTCTCTAATACAACCTGCTGCTTAAAGCAGGGTCAGCTTGTAATAGGATGTTTTGCCGTGGAATGTGGTCAAATAACTCACAAAATGCCCTATTTTTCAAGGTATCAGTAGTGGGTCGAGAGGGGGCTCATATGCCACTTTTGGTGTTGAATTATGCTAAGACCAGTCTGGCTTATCAGTCCCAAACCAATATTTTGATAGAGTAAAGATTTGGCAGATGAGCTGCTAAGGTTATGTGGAGACCTATGACTGGCAGTCAATCCTATAAATGTTCCATCCCATAAGGTAGGCTCCTCTAACATATTCCTTCTTAGAGTGTGTATTGGTGTGGTGAGTTACATTAATCTCTACTTAATAATTAGGGCTTTTTTCTAGATTTAATTTAATAGCTTTGATAGAGAGCATTATACCAGTTAAGATCTTAATTTGTTTCCAAGAATATTGTGAGGGACTACTCATGTGAGAATAGCTCAGTTCATGGTGTTAATAATACCAAGGTTTTGAGTTCAATCCCTGTATGGGCCATTCACTTGAGAGTTGGACTTGCTGATCCTTGTGGGTCTCTTCCAACTCAGAATATTCTGTGATTTCTGTTATCTGTAACTACAGTTCTGCCCCTGTCCACAAATACACTAATTTTATCACTTTTTATATCTAATGAATTACAGGGGCAAAAGTGAAAGCTTAGGCCTTCCGATTTGGGGGCAAAATTCTGGGAACAAACACAAAAATTATCAAAGCAATATTTGCAACTCTCTGCAAATACTGATGAAGAGAGCAAGCAGAACTGATGCATGAAACACAAAGGAGGAATGTATTAAACAGCAAAAAAACCTGAAAAAAAGAAAGCACCATTGGTACAATGCCTCCCTCCTCCTTGGAGAAATAAGAAATGCAAAAAAGGAGCCTATGAATTAGAAAAAGTAGTTTACAGTGGATTTATTACAATAAATGTTTTAAGTGAAGGGATTTGGATCAAATTTGTTGCAAAAACAAGCAGGCAAATGAGTCTGTGTTTCTCAAGATAAGAATTACTGTCGATGTATTTACCTCAACTAGAAGTACCTGTAGCCACTAATTTTTCGGACCTTCCTTTTTAGCTGATAAGCACAAGGCAGCATTAAAAATTCCTGCCCTGCTTTAGGCACCTGATTTATGATGAAATTATGACTCAGATACAATAGACTATATTGATCTCTAATGTCTATTGAAGGAGATTAGCTTTAGAATACTTGTCTACATCTTGGTCAGATGAGGGGATTTTTTTTTGCTTTGAATCATCACTCAGTTCTGCAGCTGATATTAAGAGGAAGATTTAAGTATATGCAACTGCTATAATTTTATCACAGTTGTTCAGATTTTGGGTTGACTCACAATGCAACTTTAAACTTTGATTTTATGCATTCCCTTTTGCCAATCTGACTATACTTTTGAAGCTTTTAGTACCACGTGCTCTGAGGGAAGAGCATGAGAGACAGCCACCACAAACTGACTGAAAACATGACAGCAGTAAAAATAGATGGCCATGCTCAGGCAAACTCAGCAGTGACAAAATACCACTAATATTGGAAAAGATAGGGTTTTAATGTCCCCTCATTAAAGAGTTGTCTGATTCATGCCTTTAAAATATGGCTATTAGGTACAGAAATGTCCCATGATCTGCTTTATACTACTAGAAAAAGTCAACTTCCACAGTCAGTGCTAGAAGCTGTAGTTTTATACAAACATTAATCATCAACAGTGTGACATCATGCTAATGAGACCTAATTGTGACTCCTCCCACCCCTTCCCATCAAAAGTTGATTTCTACATAGAATCATAGTTTGATATAGCATTGTCTTATCCCTTCAATGGGTAAATTCCAATGGTCTGAAAAGGCTCAAACAAATAATGTAGCTGATTACTGTTTGCTTAATTCACTAAGTAAATTAGAAGTTGAATTGAGTTCATGATGCATAGTTGATTTATCTAAATAGCTAGCTGAGCACTAGAAGAAGTATGATAAATGGATGGAATGTTCCACAGTAATTTTGGCAGATTCATTCACCTCCAAAATTCTTTCTTCACTTTTACTGCTTATTCCCTAAATTCTTTATTTTTCTCCTAATAAATATCCCTATACTTAAAGCATATATTGCAATTTTCCTTGTCACCACAAAATTATAATCTGTGCAGTGGTTAAACTGAAGGTAGGGAAATACTGTACATATCCATTACCGTGAAAAAATTCATATATGTGTGTAACCCGCTATTTTATTTCAAAATTGTTTTTTCTATGAAAATGTTCAGCACTAAACAATAAAAAATAACGGGTTTGGCATAATAAGTAAGTTGGCAGATGATAGTAAATTCGGAGGAGCTGTTGATGCCTTCCAAGGCAGGGAGGCCTTTCAGAGAGACCTGGCCAAGCTAAAGGACTGGGCAATCACC